ACTATTAATATCATAAATTTTAAATTAAAAAAGAAAAAGAAAAAGAAAAAGAAAATAGGGAAGAGTAACAACATGAAACAAAGACATTTATACTTTTTTTTTTTTACTGCACATTTCATATAAACACATTGTTACTTGACATTTTTACACATACACAATACATCTTTTATACAACTACAAATAACTCACACACATCTAACATTTTATACACACATACGAACAACTTATTGCTACACTTTATATTAGATTCATATATAACATTTTCATATTTACACAAGTAATTATATCGTGTATTCATGGTATACAATTTGTTAAAAAATTACATTTTTATATATTACTCAAATAGCTAATAAAAATAAATAATAAAAAACTTTTTAAAGATAATAGCAAACTTAAATAAAACAATATTCACATAAAAAAAATGTATGTACCAATACTCCCTTCAAATCTTTCAAAACAACCTCATGCCTTATTAAATAAAAACTTTAAATAAAACTTGAGTAAAACAAATAACTCACAAAACAAACTCACAAATTCTTTCTCTCCTTTCTCCTACTGCATGTTCTCTTTTCGTCTCTCCCTCGCGACTATCGCGGCTTGTTCTTATTTTTCGGATATGTTGTCGACTATATGGTGTCGGTGTTGCTCTTTATGCTTGTAAGATTGTAGTGTGTGGTTGTTGTTTCAATGGCTTCAGATAGCAAAGTGATACATGTAGTTTTCTTTCTCTTTGAATATTATGAAAATGGGAGTCATGAAAGTTTATTTGTTGAAAAAAAAGAGAGAGAGAGAGAGAGAGGAGTATATGTTAAGAGAGATTATGGAGATGAAAATGTAAGGTATATGGTGAAAGAGATGATGGAAACGGATTTTGTTTGTGTTTAGTTATATTATGGTCCGGACCATAATATAACTAAACACAAACAAAATCCTTTTGTATCGCCTACTTTAATAGCGCTTTTAAAATAAGCGCTATTAAAAAAGAAACAAACATATTTATAATAGCGCTTTATAGTAAAGCGTTATTAAAGAGTACAGAGAATATGATTTTGATAGCACTTTGTAAAAAAGCGCTATTATAGATATTCACTAAGATAGCGCTTTTCTAAAAAGCGCTATTAAAATGTTGTATTACAATAGCACTTTTATAAAAGCGCTATTATTAAAAGCACTATGATAGCGCTTTTTAAAAATCGCTATTAAAATATGTAACTACAATAGCGCTTTCTGTGAAACCGCTATCGTTTCTATAATTGTGTTTTAAGATAGCGTTTTTCTAAAAAGCGCTATTAAAATATTCCACTAAATTAAATTAATTAAAATATGAAAACCTTCCCTGGCCCAAATGTTTTTCGTTTTGGCGCAAAATTCTTTCACCCACGCAAAAAAGCACATCTTCACCGCCTCTTCATCGATTCACAGCCATCGATTCACTTCACTGGAATAAAAAGACGAACCCTAAGACAGCTCACCACCGTCATCCTTCTCCGTCGATCTCAGCCGCCGTCATTAGCTCACCACCGTCATCCTTCTCCGTCGATCTCAGCCGCCGTCATCAACTCACGACCGTCATCCTTCTCCGTCGAAAGGAGTCGCCGTCATCAGCTCACCACCGTCACCCTTCTCTTCATTGATATCCGGTAATCTTTCTTTTCTCAGATTATTGCTTTGTGTTGTAAATTGTAAAATTAGGGATTTGTAAAATTAGGGATTTGTAAAATTAGGGTTGCACGCTTGATACAGAAGGAGAGAAAGAAAGGGTCATCAAATAAGAGTAAGCGAGGTAACTTACAGAAGGAGAGAAAGAAAGGGTCATCAAATGCATCGAAGCTGCTATTCAAAGAAGAGTAAGCGAGGTAACTTACAGATTTCAATTGATTTCTGCTAGCAACTCTTCTGCATTATGTTAAAGAACTTGATTTTTTGTGTTCTAAAGTTTTCTCGGGTAATCTTTGTTCATAGGGTGTGAGCCTTGAGTTGTGTGCAAAGGATAGAGTGGGATTGCTGTCGGAAGTAACAAGGATTCTAAGAGAGAATGGCCTGACAGTTTGTAGGGCAGGTATATCAACTAAAGGGGAGGAAGCACTTAATGTCTTTTATGTAAGGGATGCATCAGGGAACTCAGTGGACATGAAAACCATAGAAGCGCTTCGTAAGGAAATAGGCAAGACAATGATGGTAGATGTTAAGAAGGTGCCAACATATGACAAATGAATGTATTAAAGGCTAAACGGTTTATTATGAGAACACTGCATAAAGATAAAACAAACTTGGCCTAAATGTGATGTTTTTAGTTCTTTTCACTGATTTGAGTTTGATTATTAATATTATAGATGATGAGACTGCCAATCCCACAAATGTTGCAGATTCTCACGTGGACTGCTCTGCAGTACTTAAAGTGAGAACACTGCATATTAGCTCCGCCATCCTGGCTGAGAAGAGTATGTTCTTCTACAAGGTTTGTGTCTTTTCTTTGTTACTTATATTTGAATACTTTTCGTAATTTTGTTTGTTCAATTATGTGTATTATTTTGCAGCTCTTCACTAATGGCATGAGGGAGTCGCAGCAGACACACGTCACCCTGAGAATCACTGCATCTGGTATATAAAAATCTTTTTAGATTATTTGTTTATTTAGATTTGTTTTCTCCAATAGTTGGCTTACTGATGCTGATTTATTATGCATGTGACAGAGGAAGCTCCATTCATGGAGCTTTTGAACTTTATGTACAATAGTTCTCTAAATGCGACCTCACCGCTAGTTTGCTGGACATCTTTATAGCGGCGGACAAGTTTGAGGTGCCGTCCTGCATGAAATACTGCAGTCAGGTATTGTTGAACATACCCATGACAGTGCAGTCTGCGTTGCTCTACCTAGAGCTTCCTTTATGTGTGAGAATGGCTAATGTTGTTAGGCCATTGGTTTTAGCAGCAAAACAGTATCTCGCTGCTCATTAAAAGGACATCACAAAGTATGTTTTTCTTTTCTTTGTTTAAATTAGTCCTATGATATGTGTTATAAACTTCTTTTAAACATACTTTTTTTATAAATTACCATATGCCCTGAGCATAGCTCGTTAGAAAAACAAAAAAACTATAATGTATTTTATGCACTTTCAAAGAATAGAATGTTCAAATGATTATTTAGGACATGGTTGATATATTTATACTCATATAGTGAATCATTGCTGATTTTTTGAACTCTAATAAGTTCTATTATTGACCAGGCATCTAGAGTTCACTAGATTTTATTATCGTTTCTTGCTTTAACAACTTTCGCCAACTCCTTTAATTGCTTCAATTAGCTTAATTAATATTAACATTTGAGAAGCCTGTTAATATCACTGAAAGGGCTATGATTCTCAGAATACCATGACCCCCATTTAATTGTTTTGGAATAGCTAAGTTCTTGATTTGATCATATATTTCCTAACTTTGATATGATAATTGTATTTTCTTGTCGCATGACTTGAAATTGCCTGCATAATATTTTGTTTGAGTCATGTGCTTTTATAACTGAAAACTTAAAGGGTGTTTTAGTTAATGATTTTTATTCTAAACATGTTAGATTCTAATGGTGATGGTAATGGCATATCCAATCAAAGCAGTAGCTGACAGTTTCGAAGACAGGAAACTGGGAGTAAGTCAGTTCGTGAGAAGATTCTACTAGTTGCAGACTTTCCCACTGTGTTAAGCAGTTGATATGGTGATAGGAATGTTAGCATGAAGAATAGTGATTAGCAGTTGCTTTAATTTTTCACACTTTCTTGTGAAGCAGCCATGAATGCTCTGAAGCTGCTTTAACATGATGAAAGCAGCCATGAGTCATGTGCATACTACAAGACACTAGATTATCAGCTAGCAGAGCCTGGGAGGTTCCATAATCTGCTTGATATGAATGCTTACTTTGGAGGCTTTGCAGCTGCAATGATTGATGATCCAGTTTGGGTCATGAATGTTGTTCTCGTCGAGGCCGAGATCAACACCCTCGGCGTCGTTTTTAAACGAGGATTGTTTGGAACATATCAGAACTGGTATATTTTTGTTTCATTTACTAGCCCATTTTCACTAACAGTTCTTAACTAGATTCTGTTACATACATAGTAGAGTACAAAGTAGCTTTTATTTTGTTAGAGTGGAAAGTAGCTTTTTGTTTGCCTAACTAGATTTGCAGCATGAATCTTTTAAAAAGTGAATGCATTATTTGTAACGTGCACCATTAACTTAATTTTGAAGTGCTTTTTGTCATAGAGAATTGAATAATCTGTTATTATTTAATAATCTGTTATTATTTGATCAACTTTAAGAAGTTTCGGAAATCAATTGTATATCTGTTGGTGTTTGATGGTGTCGGATAAAATGCCGTAAATAGATTCTTAAACTTTTTGCTCTTAGTGAATGGCTATCTTCATTGTATTTGATTGCTCTTGCTGTAATCTTGAGAAGATTAGGCTATAATCTTGTCTCCGCTTCCTATGTACATGTAAAATGGCTGTACAAACTCAAATGATATTGAAAAGTTATGTTTTTTTTGCTCTGTTTTTATGTATTTAGAACCTCACTGTTCTATAATATTAGGTTTTTCCTCCACCAAACGTGACAGGAGCTCTCCATATAGGTCATGCTCTAACAGCTGCAATAAAGGTATCACAGATTTCCCTTTTTCACCGTTCAGTTTTGCTGTTTAAAACAGGTAATGCCAATGTGATATATTTCTTGCAGGATACAATGATTTACTGCTCTGTTGTTGTTGTCAATAATTCGACGTGGCGGTAATATTTTGAATAAGATTTCGGTGTTTCTTTGAATTCTCTTTCGCGTGGTTCATGCTGATTTGAGAAATTATTTTTTTTACTACTCACTTGATGCCACGAAGTTGAAAAAACTTATTTGTATTAGAACACCATACCTCCTCCGTCATTTTACACCTAGTGCAAATAATCTTATTTGTGATTCAAAATATTCACTATCACCATCCATATTCAGAAGCTGTGGTAACTATGGGTGTACCAGCGTTTTACAAATGGTTAACCAAAAAATATCCAAAGGTTACTGAAGATGCTAACATCAACACTACGCCAACTGTGGAATACGATAATCTTTATCTTGATATGAACTCTATTATCCACCCATGTTTTCATCCCAACGATGATAACATCAATGTTCGTTACTCTCACTCTCTCTTTTACTACTTCTCTCTTTCTTCAACTTATTAATATATTAATGTCTTTCAGAGTTGTCCTCCAACAACATTTATGGAAGTGTTTGCAAATATGTTTTATTACATTGATCATCTTGTTACCATTGTTAAACCTCGCAAGCTTTTGTACATGGCTATCGGTGAGTCTCTCACTAACCCTACATCGTACTGCTTTTTATATTTGTTTGAACAAATAATTCAAAAAAGAAGGTTTTGTTTGTGTTATATTATTGATCAGATGGAGTAGCACCACGAGCCAAAATGAATCAGCAAAGGACAAGACGCTTTAGAACTGCTAAAGATGATGAAATGCGTGTAACTATTGATTCCATCTATTATAAAAAAATGGTTTCTTGAGATTATTATCATGGTTGAATGATAGAGCTTTGGTGTTTATTTTTATAGGAAGCTAAGGAAGCTATTTGAAATGGAAGGAAAACAAGTTGTTCCTAAACAAGAATGTGAAGTGTCAGATTCTAATATAATAACACCAGGAACTCAGTTCGTGCATCAACTCTCAAAGGCTCTTAAAACCTATATTTCTTCAAGGATATCCTCTCATTCATTATGGAAGGATATTATTGTAATATAATATTACTATCTTTTGCATATATAATGCAATACTAATTCACACTCTATCTTCTTTAATAGTATTAATCTACATTTTTTAATGTTTTATACTTAGGTAATTTTATCTGATGCCAATGTTCCTGGAGAAGGGGAACATAAGATTATGTCATTCATAAGAAAACAACGTGGCCTTCCTGATTATGATCCAAACACTGTCCACTGCTTATATGGCTCGGTACCAAAATCAAAGTTTTTTTTCCTTTTCATAGCAGTCTATTTGTTAAGAGTGTTGAAATAGTTGAGCTAATTTTGTTGAGTTTTGAATGCAGGATGCTGATTTGATAATGCTTGGATTGTCAAGCCATGAGCCTCACTTTTCAATTATACGAGAGGTTATCAATAGACTATACATTAAATCTTCTATAGCTTAACAATACGAGAAATGCATTTCATTGCAATTTATAAAACATTAACGTGTTACACACACTAGACATAAAACTTACAAGTCGATTCTGTATAGTTTGAATACATTTTGCTGATGTGGTATGTGCGTAAGAAATTCCTATCTTGTACAGGATGTTCCTAATTCTTATGATAAGGTAGAACAAAATGTTGTTAAGAGGTTCAAGGTAAAATAATATGTGATTTAAATCTATAACTTTGAAGTTGATGAGTAAATTATAATTTTCAGTATATATACTAGGTTGCAGCTTTTGCATATTTGGTTGTTGAGGGAATATCTTGAACTAGACATGAAGATACAAGATCCTCCCAAAAATTGCATCGTTGATTTTGAGCGGATAGTTGACGATTTTATCTTTATTTGTTTCTTTGCTGGAAATTATTTTCTTCCCCAGTTGCCCTCTTTGGATATTTATGAGGTTGTTATTAACTTTCTCCCGAACTTAAGAGTTGAATGAATTTGAATCTAGTTACCTATGTTTATTTGTTTTGCTCCATTTTGTTTAGGGTGCTATTGATTTACTAATGACTGTTTACAAGAAAGAGTTTCATAAACTTGGAGGGTATCTTGTTGACATAACTAAGGTAACACTAACAATGTTACATTCTGGTTTATTGTTTGTAGTATATCTCATTATTATCTCAAAGTTTTAATTATTTTATGTGACATTGATTTGAAATCAGATGGGGGAGAAGCATAGTGCTTTTGTGAAGCTATCAAGAGTTGAAAAATTTGTAATCATGGTTGGTACATATGAAGAAAAAATCTTCAATAGAAGAAGTGCAATTAGAGCCAAGAAACTGAGAAGACTTATTATTGATCATGAAAACTCAGTAAGTTCATGTATGCTGTTTGAAAATGGAGACATGAATTATACATTCGTAGATTCATGTGATTCTGTTGTTTTTTCTTTCAGAAGCAAGATGAACAGGATGCATGTAATTTCATCGATATTGAGAATGAAAATAGTTCAGATTGCGCTCTTCGCATTAATAAGGCAGCATCATTCCGAATATTGCAGAATATGATTGTTTTCACATAGTTTTAATTTCCATAGAACTAAAGGGTTTGTTCATTGATATGTGAAGGTAAATAAAATAGAGAAAGGAATCAATCCTTCGTCTGTTCATGATATTTATTTTAGCGGCGAATACCTTGGGTAAGGTTTTAAAATCGGTGTCACGGCAGGCATGATAGCACCGACAATAAGCAAAAATAGTACTACTAGTACTAGAAGTATCTCTCTAGATGAGTATTTCTTCTATTATTTACTATGACATTTATAATTAAACGGTTGTGTTTTGGTTTTCAGGAAGCCATAGCTATTGGAAGAACTTTTGCATCTATGAAGGACTATCAACTCGATGGAAACAGAGAAATGGTTGCATTAGGAACAATGAATGTTGTTGGTTCGATGACTTCATGTTATGTGGCAACCGGTAAGATCATAATGAACAGATGTTAATAGTATGTTTCGACAAATATTTTAAGCAGTTGATCTATTGTTATTTTCTCAGGTTCTTTCTCCCGATCGGCGGTAAACTACATGGTTGGCTGCCAAACTGTGGTATCTAATATTGTGATGTCTGTGGTTGTTTTTCTAACGCTGCAATTCCTAACTCTGCCTTTTAAGTACACTCCAAATGCAATTCTTGTAATAGATATAGTTGTATCACTAATGACTTGTATTATGCATTTGTTCTTAGCTTGACTTAATGAAAATGATTTGCATCAATATTATATGTATGCATCAATATATATATATATATATATATATATATATATATATATATATATATATATATATATATATATATATATATATATATATATATATATATATATATATATATATATATATATATATATATATATATATATATATATATATATATATATATATATATATATATATATATATATATATATATATATATATATATATATATATATATATATATATATATATATATATATATATATATATATATATATATATATATATATATATATATATATATATATATATAAAATGATTTGGTGTAAAAAAAAAAGTGTATTACAATATATAGCGGTCTGAAGAGAGCGTGCTATAATAGCGCTTTGTTAGAAAGTGCTATCAAAATTAAAGCAATTTACCGGTATTTCAATAGCGCTTTGTTTGGAAGTGCTATCGAATATGTGGATTATAATAGCGCTTTGTTTAAAAGTGCTATTAAATATGTGTCCTATAATAGCGCTTTATTGGAAAGCGCTATTAAATATGTGTACTATAATAGCGCTTTGTTTGAAAGTGCTATCAAAATTAAAGCAAATTACCGGTGCTATAATAGCGCTTTGTTTGAAAGCGCTATCAAATATGTGACTTATAATAGCGGTTTTGTAAAAGCGCTATTAAATACAGGTCTTATAATAGCGCTTTTGAAAAAGCGCTAATAATTACCAGAACTATAATAGCGCTTTTAAAGCGCTATTAAAAATTTTGTTTTACAATAGCTCCTTGATTAATAGCGCTTTAAAGCGCTATTAAAAAACAAAAAAAGCGCTATTAAAAAACTTTTTTGTAGTAGATCCTTTTTAAAATGAGAAGTATTTAGTTGTGTGTATGGTATTATAAAGTGAGTTATGAGGTTGAGATATGGAGGTGGTGAATGAAGAGGAAGGCTTTGTGTGTAGAAAAAAAAGTGTGTATGAAGCTTATGAAAAATGCAAGTGAAAAAGTTAATAATAAGAGTGGGGGAGTGGAAATATGGTGAAGATAATGGTGTATCATGTGGTGGAGTTCGGCGTGATGCAGTATATGGAGAGAAAATGAGGAGTAGCGCGTATGTAAGAAAAAGTGTGCAGGTTATATCAAAATGAATACAAAACAAAATGACTTTAATAGACTTAATACTTAAATGTTACCTTAACTAATTAAACAAAAATAAATATTATAAAATAAACAAACTATTCAAAATAATAGAAAAAATAAATAATAAAAAAAATCTTATTGATTTAAATAATAATTAATAAAAAAATAGAAATAAAAAACGCTAAAAACAAGTAATTGGACTAGGATCGAAGTGCTCAAAAAAATGAATACACCAAAATAATCAGCAAAAATATAAGATTCGGAAAAATAAAGTGTTTGGTCAAATTCAGAAGTAAATTTTTCTTAGTTAAATGGCTTAAAGTGTCCAAAAATGCGATCGAAAAGTGGTCGGAAAATTTAAATGAGCATGTCAGGTTAAACTATGCAAAATGAAGATTAATACCATTGACATTTGCATGCTTGATTTTAAAATTTTCCGTCCACTGATTTTACGTAAGTTGACTTTTAGTTTGACCAATTCAACTATAATTCCAACAAGTTTATTCTGGTTGATAAATTGAGTATTATGAAAAATGTAAGAGATGATAAACTATACAGATGATGTAAAAAGACGTGGAATCTTAGAGTCAAAAATTAGGGTGTGACATATAGTCTCTAATTTTTTATTCTTTTTGGAATAAAAAAGACGCCCTTGTTTTTTAAAGTTTTCTGTCAGATATGTTACCTCGGTTCTCGGTTTTCAATAAAACCGCGATAAAAATTCTTTATATTTTTTATTCACTCAGTGTCTACCTCATTCATTTCTCGAGCCAACAAAAGAACACTTATTCTCCAAGGAGTCCTAGCGAAAGAAAACTTCTTTTCCAGCCAACAAAATAACACTTATTCTCCAACGAGCCCTAGCAAACGAAAGAACACCATTAATCTCCGATATATTATTATTGTTGTGGTTCTTGTTCTTATTGTTGTTTTGATCCATTACTATTGTTATCTTGTTAATCTCTATTATTGTTGTTCTTGTTATTTTCCATTACTGTTGTTCTTCTGTATTATGATTATGTACTATTTTTATTTTTTTCATGAGCTTTAAGTGATTATGGATCATAGTTGGATGAAAGCCAATAGATTAAGTGTAGAGTATGAGAATGGATTAAAACAATTTCTTGATTTCGCAGAAAAAAACCTTCCTGACAATAATGGGATTTTTTATTGTCCTTGTAAAAACTGCTTTAATACGAAGAAAAGAACATCATAAGGATGATATATTCAATTATTGTGGTTATGATGGAATTATTCAAAATTACGCAAAATTGGTATGCATGGTGAATCGACAAATAAGAGACCTATGTCACATACAATTGAAGATGATGAAATTATGAATGATACCCTAGAATACATCATTCATGATATTGGAGTTGATGTTTTCAAAAAGACATCATTGTTAGATACTTTGAGAAGAAACATGGAAGATTTGTTGTATCCGGAATGTAAAAAATTTACAAGATTGTCGGTTGGGTTAAGACTATTTAATCTTCAGGCAAGAGGTGGGTGGATGGATAAAAGTTTCACTTAATTGCTTGAATTGTTGAAAGAAATGTTTCCCAAAGGTAACATGCTATCGAATCATACTTATGAGGCCAAGAAGATATTGTGTCCAATGAGTTTGTACTATGTCAAAATACATGCATGTCATAATGATTGCATATTATATAAAAAAGATTTTGAAAACTTGAAGAAGTGCGCAAGGTGCATGGAGTCACGCTACAAGAAGAAGGACAATGGTGTTGATGACGTTGATGGTGTAACTAGCAAGTGTGTTCCTACCAAGGTGATGTGGCACCTACCAATAATTACAAGGTTCAAGGGATTATTTGCTAATGCTAGTGACACAAAGAATAATAGATGGCATGTAGATGAAAGAGCGTCTGATGGAAAAATTTGCTATGCAGCTGATTTATTGCAATGGAAGAAAATTGATTCTTTGTATAAATGTTTTTCACTTGAATTGAGGAACCTTAGGCTTGGACTTGCCACCAATGGAATGAAGCCTTTTGGTCATTTGAGTACTAACCATACGTCATGAGCTGTTCATCTCATAATTTACAATCTATCTCCATGGTTGTGCATGAAGCGCAAGTACATGATGCTATCGATGATGATTTCGGGTCCAAAACAACCAGGAAACAAAATTGAAGTTTATTTAAACCAATTGATTAAAGATTTGAGACTTTTGTGGGAGGAAGGTGGTGATGTTGATGATGCGTATATAGGTGATAAATTTAAGTTGCGTGTCATGTTATTTTGCACAATCAATGACTTTCTTGCATATAGTGATTTGTCTGAATACAACGTCAAGGAACATAGAGCGTGTTCTATATGTGAAGTTGATACATGTCACCACCAATTACAAAAAGAAAAAAAGACAATTTATCTTGGGCATCAAAATTTTATAAGACCTAATCATCCATAACGTAGATCGTAGAAGACTTTTAATGGAGAGCAGAAATTTGATATCGCTCTAAAGCCCTTAATTGGGAAGAAAGTTTATAGAAAACAACAACACATTAAGGTTGTGTTTGGAAAGAAACAAAAAAAAACCCGCAGAGAATTTTTTTTGGAAAAAGAGGTCGGTGTTCTTTGATCTTCCATATTGGTCTAGTCTTGATGTAAGACATTGTCTTAATGTGATGCGTGTGTGTCATACCCTAATTTTTAACCCTAAGATACCACCTCTTTGCGCATCATCTTGCATAACATCTTTAGGTCATACGGTACTTGTGTGCGTGCTTATCATGACTAACTAGTTTGTGCATGTACAGTAATTTCAAGTGGAGATAGTACTAATTCTCATAGTTGAGCATTCCAGGGCATGACCAATTGATCCTGATTTAAGGTCGTCCTAGGGTTTTTACTTGATATGGGCTTCACTTCCAGAATTCTTTCTTCATTCTTGGGTCATTCTTGGATGGACTTTCTGGCTATATCTCATTAAAATCAAGACCGGGCTTTGGTAGTGTATGGGTCAAGGATACCTCGGGATCAAGATACTAAGGGAAATAAAGGTGTTTTAAGACAAGAGATTTACTTAAGGTGCAAGGCACGAACCATGGTGCAAAAGTTGAAGTGGTGGGTACATTGAGTTTGAGATCTTGTTGTTTTTCAAATTGTTTGTGTCTTACAAGCAAGATGGCTTGGATTCGGGATTGAGATTCAAGTGTGCTTCAAAT